ATCTGGGGAGTCTTGAAATTATCTGGGAGAGGGCAGGACATTATCCTCCTGGAGAAGGGCGTTACCTCACTGAAGACCGCCTGGCGATAGGGGTTCTGGGCATCCAGCCGCTTCTCCAGTTGTTCGTACATTTTCCACAGCTCGGCTGCACCTTTATCCCCGACTGTCGTCCGTCGCTCCTCAGAACCGACCTTGGAGGTCGCTGTGGACTCCCCTCTCTTCTCCTTGAGCGTGTCTCTCAAGTCGCCTTTTCGGGCCGACCGAGTGTCCTGCAACCTTTCGAACGCAGAGGTCCGTGGTTTCTTCAACTTGGGATCTCCCAAACGGTCAAAAGCAGACATCTGCTCGAAGGAGGACGACTCGTCCTCTTCTTCCAGCCTGGAGAGCGCATCTGCCATCATAGCCTTCCCATTGGGCTTGGTCGCCTTCTTCTTCTGGGACCGCCTCACTTTTTTCTTTTTTCCTTGGGAGCCCGCAGGTCCAGCCTTCTCGCCTGTGGGTCCCCCAGCCACTACCTCGCGGTTGGGCGCAAGTGCGGCCAGCACCTCCTTGAATTGTTCGGTCGTGATCCCAACCCTCTGAATGAGGGCCTCAGCCTCCCCGGTGGTGATGGGGGGGTGCCGACCTCCGGTGGCGCTGTTCTCCCCCTGTTGGGGAACTCCGGTACCTATGTTGGCGTTACTACGTGTTTGCACCATCGTCGTTGTGGAGGATTTCTTCCGAGTATGATTCTCGAACTCTCAACGAGAGAACCAATTTGATGGACAATAAATCCACCAAACGATCTGATTTACAGAGCGAATCGCAAGAACAAAATTAAGAACAAGAATTCGAGAATTGGATGTGTATTACTAGCTTGATTTAGCTTGAGTTCTCCCCTTTCGGGTCCCTTCTATTTATACACGAGCTCTCAACAATTAAAGTGAAGCATAACCGATGGAGTCTAGCCCGCCAAGGGCGCGATCCCCTTTTTCCGGCTCCGTAACGGCCAATCAGTTCCGTCTCCTTCTCCAGACTGACTCTGCCAGCTGCGCTTGGCCTGAGGTTAACTAGGCCCAGCTCCTTGGGCCGGCCCAGCTTGAGTATTTCACAGGTGCTTGACCCGAAGCTGTTTAAATGGTTCATTTGGGCCGTCCTCTGGATATCGGCCCATCAAATATAAATATATATTAATATATTACATAATAACATATAATTAACACATTCATTATTCATATTATCAATTATCATATATTTTTAGTTTATTACTAATATTACAATTTCGAAAGTTTCGAAATTTAATATATAATTAATTTTTTTAATATATTCTTTAAATAATTTAAATATATAATTTATATTTTAAATATATTCTTTACTTTTCAAAATATTCGAAATTTTAATATATATATATATATAAAATTTCGAAAATTTATTAAATTTTAGAAATTTAATATATTATTTTTTTAAACATCAAAAAGATATATATTAAAATGTCGAGAGAGTCTGGTAGAAGGTCCGTGCATATGGGCGCCGTAAACCAAAGTTTGAGGAAAGGCAAAGCTAAAGCCACGTCTGACGATTCGGCCTCACGCGGTTCTCGAGGAAGACACTCCGTCTCTTCCTTTCCTACCATCCCCGATCAATTCATCAGCGACGCTTTGACGGATCAAGAATTCGACCAGTACATTTCTGGTAGAGGCGACACGAATCTCCCCACTCTTGATAGTTTATTCGAGGATATTGATGAAGCAGGACTAGACAAACTGGACGGGGAAGAGGAGCCTACACCGCACAGCAACGACGTCGACGAGGAGGCAGTTGAGCCCGAGACCTCTCAAGGTCCGGGCAAAGGTAAAAAAAATTAAAATCAGATTTATTTGTTTATCATTTTGAAAAAGATACAAAAGATGACATAGTTTATGGAACTTGTAATTATTGTGGCACGGTCATTAAAATAGGAGTTTCCGGCGGTTATGGTGGTTCGGAAAAACACCTCAAGTCAAGGGATCCCGTGGAGTACGCCAAATACGCGGCGAAAAAAAAGGGACGACAAGAAGTGCAAACCCAAATTTCTCGGCTTGCTTACAGGGGTAAGGGCAGCCTTTTTGCTTATAGCGACGAGCAAAATAAGCAAAAAATGGCCGAAATGATTTGTAAAGAAAATTAGCCATACATGTTTTCTGAAAAACTTGGATTTATTGATTATTGTCAACATGCATTAAACCCTCAAGCAAAAGGTTTTTCAAGAAAAACAATTAAATGTGAAATTATTCGCCAGTATAAAATTGAAAAAATATATTTGGCAAATTTTTTTCTCAATTTTAATTCTCGTGTTGCTATTTGTTCAGATATTTGGGGTGAAACTTATCATAATTTGTCTTATATGGGTGTTACTTGTCATTGGATAGATAGTGATTGGATTATGCATAAACGTGTTCTTGCATTTCATGATTTCAATGATTCTCATACTGTTGAAAATATTTTTCTATTACTTCAGAGTATTTTGCGGGAATACAACTTAGCTGATAAAGTTTTTTCACTTGGTTTTGATAATGCTACTAATAATACTACTGCTATTCCTAGACTTAGAGAAATTTGCCCCCTACTACGACTATGTGTTCAACAGGGACTAGAAGCTAGGGGGGTTTTGACGAATATTAAAAAAGGAATTAGGAAAATTTGGGAGCTCGTCTTATTTCGAGGTCCTGGAAGATATTCGGTAAGTCTAAGGGCAGAAAAGAAATACAATTTGCCAAAGATATCAACATTATATGGAATAGTACTTACAAGTTGATAGCACAGATTCTAAGCTATAAAGACGAACTTGCTGAATATTTTAGGGATGAACTTCGTATAATCATTTCACCTATTGAATTTGTTATTGTTGAAAAATTGAAAGTCGTGTTAGAAGTTTTTAATAACGCAACTCTTACTTTTTCGCATGTTTACCAACCAACTACAAATACATTTTTTAAAGAGCGTGTTACAATCGTAACATGTTTTCGTGAAAGTATGGATGATGAAGATTTGTACCCTTATGTCTCTCATATGAGAGATAAATGATGTGCTTATTATTTGTACATTCCTGATATTTATAAAATAGGTATTATTTGTGATCCACGCTTTAAGATTGAAAATTTTAAAATTCTAATTGACTATTACTACACTTGTTTTTTAGATAAAAATAGTTATTACTATAGCCATTTAATAGAATGGAAAAATGAAAGAGATAATGCTATAACTCTTTTTGAGAATTTGTTTAAGGAATATCGAGGGTTATACGGAAGTGTGCCAGAAGAAACAACACCTCCTCCGCCCCGCAAATCAAAAAAAGGTTTTAAAGGAATAGTCGGTGGGCTTCTTGCAAAGAAATGGAAGCGTGCTCAGCCTTCGACGAGTTCAAGTGGTACAATAGTAAGCTCGCACAACGAACTTGCTATGTACCAAGGGGTATCATGCGATTACAACGATGATGACGTGGAGTTTGACGTCCTCGGATGGAGGAAGCGGAACGAACACATGTTCCCATGTCTCGGAATGCTAGCAAGACAAGTGTTATCCGTACCGGTATCAACCGTAGCAGTTGAACGAGAATTCAGTGCTGGCGGCAACATTCTAACCGACTACCAAAGTTGTCTTAACGCTGAATCTCTTGAAACACTTGTTTGCAACCTAGATTGGATCTTGGCAAGACGTTGAGCTCAAGAGCCAGCATACGAGTTCAATTCGGAGCATTACATGAATGCAACCACAGATGAAAGTCCGAGTTATGAGGAATAAGTTATAAACTTTTTTTATGTTAATGTAAAATTGTAAATATGTAATTAGTTTTTTAAGTGAGCGATATATAAGCTCCTTCGAAGGTTTCTTTACGGTTCTTTACCTCATCGCTTTTTTTGAACCGTCAGGATATTAAATGTAGTTGTTCTTCAGTTCGTGTATTACTCATTTTACAGTATTTAAATAACAACTACATTTTAGATTTTTTAATTTCATTATTTCTTTTAACAATTGCAAATTTACAATTTTATACTTTAAAAATTTTAAAAAAAGCAAAAAAAAAGGGGGTGCCCGAAACCGGCCGGTCCTGGAACCGGCACCGGTAACGGCCGGTCCGGTCACAGTACCGGTACCTAGGGGTGGCGGTACCGGAACCGGAACCGGCCCGGAACCGTATCGTGTCCACCCCTACCATCACTGCTTCAAGGACGAGTTGCTGAAGCTAATGCACTTGGATTTCCAAGTACTGCGCAACACAAATATGATCCTTACTTGAACACATATAACCTAGGGTGGAGGAACCAACCAAATATGAGTTATGGGAATTGGAAAAATCAAATGTTTCTATCTCAACCAGATCCTAATCAAACCTCGAACTCAATAATGGAGAGCATGATGAAAAACTTTGTGGATGGGCAGTTGAAGTTAGACCAGGAGAAGTTGAAATTTGAGCAAGAGACTAAAGTTGGAATGCAAGACTTGAGGACACAAGTAGGCCAACTCGCTACATCAATAAGCAGACTTGAGTCCCAACTCTCCAATAAACTTCCTTTGCATTTCAGGACCCCAAATGAAAGTGCTAATGCAGTCACTCTTTGTAGTGGCAAGAGTTTTGGTGAGTCTAGAACCAAGGAAAGGGAAGAGAAGGTTGATGAAGAATGTGAAATTGGGGTCAAACACGATCAGATTATTAATCCAGAAACACCTCTACTACAAAAGGATGCAAGCCCTACGGATGAAAGGGTAAATTCTCCCCTAGATTCTAGTTTATCACCTAACGTGTCTTTGCCAAGAGGACAATGAAAGGGACATATGGGAAAATTTTTATAAAATAGAGGTAAACATACCACTCGTTGATGCAATTAAATAGGTCCCTCGATATGCCAAGTTCATGAAGGAACTTTTCACAAACAATAGGAGATTGAAAGGAACTGAGAGTGTAAATTTGAGCAAAAACGTTTCTGTTATACTTCAAAGAAAGCTCCCTATTAAGTGCAATGATAAATGTTCATTTTCGATTCCTAATAGGAGGGAAGAAATTTGAGGGGCTTTGTGTGATCTATGTGCATCTATTGATGTTATGCCTTACTTGGTTTTCATTTCTTTAAATATTGGCTCTTTGAATGAAACTAACATTGTTATAAAATTGGCGTATTGATCTAACGTATATCCTGAAGGGTTAGTTGAGGATGTTTTAGTGCATATTGAAAAGCTCATATTTCCTGTAGATTTTTATGTTCTTAAAATGGAGGAGAATGAGCTAGACCTCAAACTAATTCCCATCTTGCTAGGGAGACAATTTTTAAGGACTGACAGGACAAAAGTTTATGTGTTTAAAGGAATTTTAACCATGGAATTTTATGGAAATGAAGCGCGATTTGACATTTTTGAGGTCATGCGCTACCCAAGTGAAGATTATGCGGTCTTCTTCATTGATGAAATAGACGTTGTCTCAGAGCAAGTCGTAGAGCTTAAAACCACCGACACTCTTGGTTTGGTTTTAGAGCATAGTCTTGATAGTAAAACATACAATTCACTCGAACTACCTCCAAAAGAAGAGATACTACAGATGATTGAGTATTTTTGGAAATACTGCCAAAGAAGGTGAGGAAAGCTAACTTATCATATATCGATCTACCAGTTTCACCCACCAGATTGCTCTCAAGAGTAGTGAAACCTCCACCTGTAGAGCTTAAACCATTACCTCCACACTTGAAGTACATGTTCCTCAGGGAAAATGAAACTCTTCGAGTAAATATATCTAATGAGTTGAACTTAACTCAAGAAGATAAATTGATAAGATTGTTGAGAAAGTATATAAAAGATATTGGTAGGAGCGTTGCAGATATTAAAGGAATCAATCCTTTAATTTCTATGCACAAAACTGTTTTGGAGGAGGTTACCCGAATAGCCATTGGAACCAGAAAGTACCACATGGCTCTAACTTACTTTACTTATGGCATACCTTGCCACTAATCTATTCAGGTCATTTCCTAGAGTTGTTCTAGGTGATATATCCAACAATCGTTAATCAATACATAATACCAAATTTATAAATCTACAATGCATTTAACAAGATATTCAACGTAACCAAATAGCGGCCTTACACGGGTGTAAACACCCATATTTACCGTCATGCAACACAGAGAATCTTAGAATCAATCTATGACGAAAATATAGATCGAAACACATGGCATCAAGTACCAGACGGTACCCATCACTGTACGGGGTACCATCCTTACAATACTTGGGTACTTGTCCTACGGTACTAGGGTACCGTCTGAACTAACTGAATCCTTTCGGTAAAACTACCACGGTAGCCAACTACCAACCAGGTGGTAGGGCCTACCGTCCATCCCATACCTAGGTACCGAACGGTCACAGCTACCGGCAGAGGAGAACGGAACAAACCATAATCCGTCCAGGTCTGCACCCCCTTTCGGACTAAAGTATTAACATATTTTTCATAACATAATAGTATGGAGTTTTCAATATTGCGGAAGCTTAACAATTCACAATCATAAACATAATTTATTTATATTCTTCAATTCAAAACCATCACATCCATTCCGACTATCTCGCCTCCGTCTGCCTCCAGGATCACGTGACATCATTCTATTAACCTACATGTAGCAAATAAAACATACTACACACTCACTGTTGAAGCTGAGTAAGCATATCTAATGCGTCGAACATCCATATAAATTGAATCTCAATTCATAATCAATTCATTTGATATCATGCACATATTGTTCTGTTCAGATATTAAATAATCAGTATTCAATTTTCAACATTCATTGTTCAATCATTCAACATGTATATTCATTTTTCATTTTCAACATTCATCATACATATCCATCATTTTTTATTTAACAATATCCTTAAACTATTCTTGGTCTAAGGCTAATCTCTTTCATATTTATCAACCCTTAAAAAAATTCTAGTTTAAGATATTTCTAACCAATTCTTAAACTATATTCTAGTCTAAGGTACTTTATCGAATTCTTAAGTTAGGCCTAGTTTAAGATAAACTTACATTCGCTTAAGGTCAACCAGAAACCAAACAGCAGAATGCTCACTGTCAGGTTAGTTGGTATCACCAAATGAGTGCCTCTAGTTTGGTTTGTAGATCTTGTACTTACGTTTTAACCCAGGCCACCGAATATTCATCATTATACCCGCAAGGCCTATTTCTAAGCCATCTTAGAGCTCTTCTAGATAGTCTTAGAGACCAACGTCAATATACCTTAGAGTTCTTCTAGATATCCTTAATAGTCCATCACTAATTTCCAAATGGGTATATCCTAGAGTTCTTCTAGATATTCTTAATAATACAATTCATTTCATAATCATCAATGCATTCATTTTAATCATGGATTCAATCATTAGTAATCATTTTCAGGCAGTGGGTTCACCATTCATAATTATCCATAATAAGCATTTATCATAATCATCAATCAACATAACATCTAATAGCAAATAACGACCTAGTTTCGAGTGTTAACACTCTAGTTTACCGTCATGCATCATATAAGATTTTATCTGTCAAAAGCATCATTTTTATGTCCAAAAATCATATTCATATTGGTCATAATTTATTGGTATCAAAAATAGGATTTAATAGTTCAAAAATCGTGTTTCGGGGAAAATATTAGGTTCTGGACGGTACTCGGTACCGTGTCACGGTACCTTGGTACCGACCTCCACTAGCCACTGTGAGAGAAACACAGAGAAATGGTAGAGGGTGTACCGTTTGGACGGTATAGCCTACCGTGCCGGCGGTACCTAGGTACCGTCCGGGCAGTAGGGTGATATCGTACTATGCGTAGTTTTGAACAGTGTCATCTTCAACTTCGGGTCAAGTTTCGGAAATTCCATTTTTAGTCATTAAACTTTAATTAAAATATATAGAAATGTTCTCCAAGGTTAATAGATCATTTTGGTATCATTAGTTCATAGTACTAACAACAAATTCAAGGTTTATGATTCTTGGTTCTGCAAACATGTCAAACACAAAACTCAACCAAAGGACCATTTATGAACGTAGAAACGATCTATACGAACATTCTATTCACTAGATATATCTACAGGCTTACCTCGAAGCTTAACGATGATTCCAGTGATTGAACGGCGAAACTTCCGGCAACCACCACAGCTTGCTCCGGCGACCTCGACGACAACTAATACTACCAAACTACTCCCTTTATTCTCTAGATTCTTATGGGACGAATTTTAGTAAGTTTTGTGAAGAATTGAGAAACAATGGGTTCACTTATATAGGAAAAGAAGGAAGGAAAAGCCAAGCTGATGTGTCACCTTCTCCTGTTCGAACGGCTGAGTGGAGAAGGGGGCTGATTTCTACGGGTTTTAAACACAAGTCCCTTATTCGGACTAGTTTCAGTCCCATTCAGGGTACACTTTTTGGTCCAGTTTTCTCCGAATTGAATTCCGTTTGCACCGTTGCGATCGGACAGTCGAACTTTATTCAATGATATAGTTTTTATATTTATTTGCAATACTTTTTCCGACTTCATATTTTTGGGTGGTTGACTTTGACAGAGTCAAATTTCATTTAATTGACCCTTATTCAGAAAGGTTCTTACATTTAATTCATATTATTTATTTCCATGATTTATTTCAATAAATCATTTCAAAGTTCACATTGTAAACAATTTCTTCATTGGGTCTGTACTCAGGTTCCCAATCAAGGTCACACAATGGGTCAACATATTGGATTTATCTCTATGAGATTTATCCAGATTATGATTTTTGATATCAATACATATTTTATTTCAACCCAAAGCCTAACAATAATTTATTTTAATCAAAGTAAATTTGATTAATCGAATAATTATTCACTAATAATTCTAGGGTATGTTTTGGGGCGTTACAGGTACCGTCTCGGCGGTACCGCTACCGTCTGACGCAACAATTTTTGGCTTCATACCTGTTTTGTTTTTCAGCATCAAACCAAAATTTGAACATCGAAAATTCCACATGGATATGTTTTTAACTCAATTCCAAACCTAACTAAATCCAACTATCAATGATTCCAACCAAAACATAACAATCCATCAAACATATATTCAATAATCCATCAACGCCTAAATCATGCGTTCTACCATTTTCAATCAATATAATTCCCGAAACCACAATCAAGCAATTCAACAAAGTATTTCACACAGATCAATCACGATAATAGCTATGAACGGGAATTTCAAACCTAGATGCATATTCTAGTGTTAGATGTCCATTTACTTAACTCGATTCATTTCGATTTGATCGAATGAATAACATTACAAATCGAACATCAACGAAGGTCGTGCCACCACTGCCCGTACTTGTTCTTCGCTGCCTGAACGTCTCTAGAACCTCGTCAAGGGCTCATCTGCCTACCCACCGTTGGACGGGACTCAGCACAGCCATCCCGACCTCGTCACCGCTACCATAGGTCACCGAGTGTCCCGGTTGCCGCTACTAAAGGTTCAAGATCTCTTCTCCTAGGGGGTGTTTGTTTTTTGGCCAGAAGAGCTTCTGGCCTCTTTTGTCTGCGCCGCGCAGACGCGCGCAGATGCTGAGCTCTACAGATTGTTTGTTTTTTGGAAGACATTTCACTCAAAAAGATCTTTCTGGCATCTTCTTAGAGAAGACATTAACCTATGTCTTCTAACATCTTCTCCATTTTTTTCTTCTACTTC